TAATAATTGCATATAAAAAGGCTAGCGGCGCAACTGCGAGTTAGTCTGCGTATGAAAGGCGAAGGAAGCGAAACTGTCTATTGTGAAATAAAATAACACCCGTCAATAAAAGTATTTTGATTTGACTTATTGTTTTTATGTGTGATTTGTTAGTATGGAAAAGAAGCGAAAAATCGACAGTGAATGCAGAACGTTCAAAGAAAAATGGAACTTTCAGTATTTTTTAATTGAATCCAGTAATAAGGTGCTATGTTTAATTTGTAATGAAATCATAGCTGTTCTCAAGGACTATAACATTAAACGACACTATGAATAGAAACATCTTCAAAGTTACTCCAAGTATACAGGAAGTTTGCGGAAGGAAAAATTTTAAGCTTTGAAACGCGGACTCAAATCGCAGTAATCTTTGTGAAATCGGAAAACGTGGCAAACCATTCACCGATGGAGAAATGATAAAAGAATGCTTGATTGCAGTAGCCGAAGAAATATGCCCCGAAAAGGTAAATTTATTGAAAAGTGTCAGTTTTTCAGCAAACACCGTGGCTCGGAGGGTGCAAGACATCGCACAAAATATATCATCTCAACTGTCTGACAAAAATGGACATCATGAGTGGTTTTCTCTAGCATTGGATGAGTCAAGGGATGTGTCAGATATTACGCAGGTGTTGATTTTTAATCGCGGAGTAGATAAAAGCTATGAAGTGTATGAAGAACTTCTTGAAATTGATAGTATTCATGGCACGACAACTGGGGCAGATATTTTCAAGGGAGTTGAAAATGCCATTAATAAAAAGAACCTTCGATGGAGAAATTTGAAATCTATAACAACTGATGGAGGCAAAAATATGTATGTTGAAAATGAAGGAGTAGTTGCACTTATGTCAAAGGCTGTAGAGAATGATGGTGATTCAAAACCATTAGTCTTACATTGTATCATTCATCAACAGTCAGTGTGCGGAAAATGTTTGGATATGTCTGAAGTTCTAAAACCAGTCATATCAGTTATTAACTTCATCAGATCCACTGGGCTGAATCACCGACAATTCCGCGAGTTTATTCAACAGATTGGAGAAAATGATTTACCATATCATACTGCCGTACGCTGGCTTAGTTGCGGAAAAGTCGTTAAGCGCTTTTTTGAACTTCGAGCAGAGACCGAAATTTTTTTAAATGAGAAGCAGTGCCCTTTTGCCGATTTAGAAAATGGTGAATGGATGTGGAAGTTAGCCTTCTATGTCGATTCGACAAATCATATGAACGAACTGAATTTGAGATTGCAGAGAGAAAATCAGCTTCTCCCTGATTTATACACCAATATCAAATCCTTCAGGCAGAAAATACTATTTCAATCGCAATTACGTAAAAAATGTTTCACACATTTTGAAACATGTGAAATATTTAGCCACACTACAGAGACTGAATTTCCCGTCAATTTTGCAATTGAAACTTTGAGTGCTTTGAAGGTAAATTTTGATACTCGTTTTTCAGATTTTGATTTCATTGCGAATGAAATTAAGCTTTTTCAAAATCCTTTTGATTCTGGCATTGAAACCCTGGCTCCGGAAGTCCAGATGGAAATTATTGATTAACGGTGCAGTGATATGCTTAAGAACAAATATCAAAATTCATCTTTGTTGGAATTTTATAAGAGTCTTCCACTGGAACAATTTGATAATTTGCATGAATTTGCTCGTGGGTTGTTTTCTGTTTTTGGTACTACTTACTTGTGTGAGAAGAAGTTTTCCAAGATGATCTTAAATCTCTTTTGATAATTGGTACAAGTAAAATTGATCCACAACTATAAAGTATTGTCGGTGGAAAATCACAATTACATAAATCTCATTAGTGTTTTTGTTTTACAGTGATTCATTTCAATTATTTGTTAGTTATTAATATGCTTAAACTTAGATGCTTGTCATCATTTCTGTCTTTAAGTTTTACCTTGCAAGTAAATGAAACCGAGTAATTATCATTCTGTGTTTTCTTCTTCAACATATCACAGCAATAGTAACAACAATTAGGTAATCAATGTTAAGTTATACTTCATGAATATCCAGACTTGAAAAACTGAATTTCTTTTAGAATAAATAAAAAATTTAAAGTTATTTCAGTGAAGAACTAGAATATTCATCAGTTCACCTGCTGGTTTCTATTTCTAACTCGGTTCGAAAAAAAGAGGATTCTACCTTTTTCCAACACTTTCTACCTGTGCGTCATCCATCTATTCCTTCAACCCCTTTCTCCGCCCTTGCGCATCGGCGATGGGGTGAAGTCGGCCGAACGGGGTAGAGAAACCCTTTGACAGCGTGCCGGAGGATGTGATTTTGAGTATCTAACATACGACAATTATATGGGTAGCGTGTGTGTGAGAATGGATGGGGTTACAGGGTGGACTCGCGTTGGGTGTCAGGTCAGGTGGTGTCGCGTTACCGGCACTGACGTGCGAATTCTTTGTCGCCCTCGAAGGGATGAGGGTGTCGACGACCTCGCGGGGAAGGTGGATTGTGTTGGAGTGGAAATTGTAGGTTAGGAGGGTGGAAATATGACAAACTCTCAATTTCTAAAGGTAGATTTTTTGAACAATACTTCGCGGGAGATATACGTAGGGATCTAGTACATGGAATCATTCCTTCAAGGAGAGATGAGAAATGACGAATGAATGAGTGAATAGCATATGAAAATGAAGAATATCAATGAAAAACTGTGATGTGTCTATTTAAAACAAACCGGGGACAAAGAATCAATCTCAACCATTGTTTTTGCTTTTTGCGAGCCGAGTGACTTGTCCATTTCTTTCAAATATTTCAAAACATTTCTTCATAAATCGAAACTATTTCTCATACAGAGGTAATCTTATTCATTGGAAAATGGAAGAAATATCAACACACAAAGACTGTGCTGGCATCTTATTTGTGTATGGATTATTGAACGATTTGACATGACTCCAGCTATTGTATCACTTACAGTAAGCGCCAAACGTGATGGCAAGCCCGCCCTTATGCACCCAAACTCATTTTCAATGTAACCCCCACTACAGCTCTTGCAAGACATACAAATGCTCTGTATAGAGGCGTTTGGCATTATCTGAATAATTTGTATTGTTTCTGAAAAAATGTCATCGCCTAACCAAGAAATTAAAAAGAAGCATGTTCCATTTGCTACCTAATTGATACTTATTATAGGTTCGACACTGGCCGGCAAGGGAATTATTGTAATCCAATGGTAATTTAGTTGGGGGAAACTATACCTGCGCGATCGCTCGCCATCACGTTTGGCGCTTGCTATACTTTTCCTTCAACTGCAGATTATATAAAACTCGGCATAGACAAATACTTATTTCTCGTTACTTATTTCTCAAGCAACCATTATGGCAACTCACCTGTCAATAGATCTTCAGTGATTTGTAATACGATATGTGATTCTGTTGACTTTTTTTTGCTCGGGGCTAGATTGGTAGTTTCATTTTCTATATGTAGTTTGTACTTGACAGTTAATATGAGTTCTCCATTGTACATCGAAAATTGTCAATCCTCACTCCTATGTTTGATTGTTGCCATCCTGTTATTGAATCTGTATCTTTTGGATGACTTTATGAATGAATGCCATCCATTTCCACTGTTTGTACAGGTCCAATTCTGTTTAAAATCTGTTTAAAATCTGTTTTTCCGTCAACCAGCTGTCGCACCCCTACGAACGACAACCCTTCAGAAGTCGAAACTTGTGCGAGCTAAGGATTAACGAGGTCTTATCTTTTAACGTGTGATTCCTAACACGTTATGTGGTTTTGTTATTATGATGTTTCAAATATTTTATTTATTATCTGCTACTAGTTACTAATCACCTTATGGTCTTTCGAACTTATTTGTTGAATATAAATTTCTCAGGGACATCTTGTTTATTGGATAATGTAAAACATGGCTACAAGTGATGTGCATATTCGTGTCATGAAAAATACTTGAAAATATGTTTTGTATAACTTCCAGAGACGTCTCATTAAACGTGACTCAACCTGTATATTATGCTAATAAAGAATGTATTTCGATCGGGATGTGTTTCTGTCCGTTTTTTCTTTAGAAAACTCAGTTCCTCCGAGTTATGTGTAACATTCAAAACCACTAGGGAAATTAATATAATATAGCTGTCATTTTCTTTTTAATGAAAACCTATTCAAAAATATGTTATGAGTTGGGAATTGAAATAAAAATTAAATATGTACCGGGAATTTTCAATAAAATGGTTGGTTTCGAACAGAAATTTGTGCAATATATTATGGAACACTGATAATCAGGTGTGTAGTTCGGCGTGAGCTTGTCGGGAATATAATAATAATTATAATGTATTCAAATACGAATCCTAATAATATATAAACGTTTCTGCTTGGCAGTAATTATTCCAACTTTATAATCTGTTCGGTGCTGGTACGTTAAATCAACACTAACCAGGTACATACTGAACATAATTTCAGTTATTAAAAATACGTCCTACTATAATTTTAACTTCAAGTGATCCATTATCTCACGTCTGCGATATGTTGAAGACTAACATTACTTGACTCTAGTGGTGATATTGTTTCACTTCTGTGAATCGAGAAATTCATTCTTAGCAATTCATTATTGTAAAGGAAATATAATTTGTTGTAATATTCTGTCTGTGTTTATTTATTTTTTCAAGTTATTACTCGAGTGAAAATAATTAATGATTATTGTGAAAAAAATTTAACGGAAAAGATAGGGACCATTTAAGGTTTTTTTTCGAGCATTACAACAGAGATTCTATGGGTTTCCTTATAAAAATGCATTGTTGTTTGGTTTCTTCACGTTGAAACTTTCAATTCTAGTGTTTGACGAATAAGAGCCAACCTCTGTTTGTAATGAGCCTACAGACTACAGCTAAATTTCTACTTTCCATAAAGTACTTATATACATATATAAAGTACGATATACCATCTAAAAATGTCGATTTATTGGTTGAAAATTAAATCGAGTAATATTGACTTTCAGGTAAAACTCCATAGAACACCAGTTGCTAGGACTTAGTCTATCCATTCCCGGACTTGATTTCAATGAAACATCTTCCACCCCCAGGGTAAAAATATCCCCCAGCACAGGGTCAACTCTGAAGTAGAGGGTAAGTAAAACCTAAATCTAAAAAATGTATACTGGAAAAGGTCACTGACTGGACTATTATCATTTTCAACACGGGGCTGTAGTTCTAGTTATGATTTCCAAAGAAGACATTTTGAAAATATTTTGATGGGTATGTTCATCACTTTGTTCACATTTTGAAACAAGCATATCCAAAAAATTTGTTACCATGATGATATGATGAAGAAAACGATATAGGAATATAATACTGATATAATCAATGCTGATATCGTATCTTTTTCAAAGTTTGTCTAATTGAAATGGACAGGAAAGTTTTCATTCAATATCAAGATCGGATTGGTTTTCGTCGTTTCTAAAAGTCGAGATTTCGTTCATACCTGGCCGAAACTTTTTCTTCCTCATAATATCATCTACAATACCCCTCGAGAAACCTTTACTATGTGTTACTATATTACTTGTTCAATGTCCGCATTTTGAATACAGTTTCAATTTGGAAAACTATCGTGATTATTTTGAATATCAAAAATTGTATTTTCTATGAACCTTCCACCTTTTTCTCCAATAAAAAGTAAAAATTCATTTTGTATTAGAATTTACCGAAGCAACCCTGAACACCTAAATGAAATGTCAACCCGATTTGAACCTCAAATGATTAATCGTACTCAGCAGAGCAGGTCACTTTTCCTGGTAATCGTATTGATAAATAAATTGATTAATAAATGACGTTATTCTATTAGATATAAATATCGTTAAAAGATAAATCAAACAATAAATTGAGCTTGTTATCGGTTTTATTGGTGTAATAACTGAATTTTGTGATAGTTAACAGGATCTGACACATAACATACAGTGTGGTTGAAGTTGTTGATGTTTTTATTTTACATTCTGACCTAGTACACTTCATTTGTTAGTCAACTTTGTGTTCATAACTTTCAATTTGTATTCCTATTTTGATAATTCTCAAATACTTTTCCCACACTAGAACAAACACACTGTTTGTTGGCACAGTTCACTAGCCATCTAGCATTATCAGATAATAAAGGGTGTCTTTATCAACTCCTGATGGTGCCAATAATAATCTTTTTGAAAAAGTGATTTTCCATAGAAGAAGAAAATGTGGTTTAAGTGATGAAGACATGGATAGACTCAAACATTGTTCTATAACATTCTCCCAGTTTTCGATTACATTTTCAGACAATTTGTTTTGGCCGAAACTTTCGCCAATAGGTTTTTCTTTTTGGCTATCAAAATAGATACAAAGTTACCTCACTTCTTAACGATGCCGATTAGTTTGTATGGTGAGTGGTCTTTCAGGTCAGATGGTAAGAGTACGGCTCTGCAGAACTCTAAAAACCTTATTCGGTCCCCAGCGGGGAAGGCACAAAGTATATGCTCTGCTGTTCCATAATTTTCCATACAGAGGCGACACATACTGTTTTCCGAAAGTCCGAGTCTCTGCATATGATGACTCAAATGACGATGACCTGTAAGAAGGCCAGTTAGACATCGTAGTTCATACCTACTGTAGTCCAACAACTGTTTGGTATCAAGCTTCGAAAGCTGAGCCAATCATGGAAGATTCTTCCAGATGTCCATAAATCTTGCTTGCCGCCCTCTCCTTTGCAAGCAGTCTCATTGCCTTCCAGGTCAGTATGGCCATGAATGCAGACCAGAGACAATCTACTGGATAGTCGTTTTTTGCAATTTGTTACCAATGTAAACGTTACTGGGTAGGAGCCAAGAGCTTCCAACGCCGCTTGACTGTCCGAGAATATTTTTATTGACTTGTGTATGAGGTTGGATTCTTAGACATCTTAGACATAGCGTAATTTTCCGCTTGAAATACAGTTGCATAGGTTCCTAGACAGGTTGATATCTCTGTCAAGGGCCTGCGACTGAAGACATCTGCACCAGAACCGGGAGGTGTTTTGATCCATCTGTGAACCAACAACTATCTGCTCTTAATAATACGGGACATACAGGTGACGCATCTCGGGTGCGAGATCTGGGGTCGCATAGGCACGATAGATTTGAACAATGAAATCCTGTTGTTGAAAACTACGAGTTTAGTCATTTGGGTACTATTTGTATGTATTGGAACATTGTGTCTTCAATAATTGTACTTTCAAATCGATATTTTTACAAAAAGGCATTATTACAAAGAGGAGTACCCAGAATAGACTCTCCGGGATTCCTCACAGCTGAAAGGTGAAAACACATAGAGTATAATGACACTTTTATTAAAATCACATATCAACATATGAATTGTGTACTTGAAACCTAATAAGCCATAATCCATAATCGTCTTGGCATAAATCGACTCTATCAACCCTAATCTCAAATTGGTTCTTTTTTGTTTCATAACGTCACTGTATTTGCATGTGAAATTATGTAAATGGATCGCTACTAATTTTTGTTATAAAACCAACACAGATTTAATAACTTGTAATAGGTTTCGAATTCAATTTTCAGCCTATAACAGGTAGGCATTATACTTTGGCTCCGATGACAATTATTATTTGGTAATTATATTCAGTGCGGAACACTTTGATGCCGGCACTGTACCCGTCACATATCAATCATGGCATTAATTAAATATCGGAGGAAATATTTCCGATATAGAGGAGATGAGGTTTATTTTCATTTAATAGTTTCGGTTTATACTGGATGTCTTCTTGTCGTCTTTCGATGATTTATTCGCGATCAGTTTTGGGTTCTACCTGTGCTCAATTGGAATGACTAACTTTTGATTTGCTGAGGCAACGGTGCAAGTCAGTTCTTATTTTTTTATAGAAATTCAGTCATAAGTGCCGCAAAAGGGTTACCAAATTGAAAGTTCTCATTCGGGTGTCATTTACAGAAGTTTTCAGAAATACTGTACCTTTGATACTAGATATTGATTTTAAACCGTTACTGTATCAAGAAATCTGAATGTCCAATTTCTGAAATGTTGTGCACTTCCTAATGGTTGCTTCAAGTAACAAAATACAGGGTCTTACCCTCACAAATGAAACCTCACAACTCCCGATTGAAATACTATTTCCAGAAACCATCAAGGGAACTTGAAGACTCCAAAGAAACTCCATCTAGACTCCTCTGATTCTTGAGATCCGAATCTCTGGCAGTCTTCAGCAGCAGCTACCTCAGACCTAGGTTTCACTTTTACTAGTTCTTTTGCTTTCACTTGGCAGAACAGTACTACAAAAAATTGTTGTACCAGAATCCTCTATAATTAAATTACCAAATTCAAAGATTAATTTTATTTAACCCGCTTTCAAATAAATGTCAGACACAGAGACGACTCTTTCAAAATTTCATCCTTCACCCAGGCAATGTTACCACCTGTTCATTCAGTCCCTTCGGACATAACACACAGGGCGTCCAAGTATGACATTACTTTTCTTTTTTTTTCACAATTTTCGTATCTATTTTCATAGCAGACGAGGGTTTTGAAAAAAGTAGGAATCGAAATCTACTCGTTGTTGATTCCACAATAGTTTTCAATTGTTATAAATCTAATCTGGATTTCACAGATACTGAGGTTAGGAATTTGAAAGCAAACAAGTATATAGAAATAAGTGGCAAGCCTAGAAATCATTTAGAATTTACTTACAGAGTTAGAACTTAAATGACTCCTGAACTCTAAAGTACGAGTTAAAGGCTACATTGTTGGAATAGAAATCGCTGAAGTTAAAGAAATAGTTTTAAGATGTCAGCGTTTTGATTGTGTTGCATCGGAGTGTGGCAATAACTCCGCTGATTTAATTGTTTCATTTCTGTGATTGTTCAAAGCCTTTATGTTTAAATGTTAACTAAAAATATTTCATGTAAAACACTTCCTTATGATATTTTAACCGGTAAACAAAGTTATGTTTCAGTGTTAGGATTTGTTCGTTGTTCAAATACATAACTTTATTTGTATCTACCCAATCCAAAATTACAATTTTTTCGCCCGCGATCCGGTTATGATTTGATATAATTTTTATTGATACTTTTCATCATTTGAAAAAATACAAATTCTGCTAGTCAACTTTATTGATGTTACTGACAATCATAAATAATAACAATTTATATAAAAAAAATTTACATATTCAGTAAGTGATAGTAGGTGATTTACAGGGTGCTACGGGGTGCCTATTTCAGGCCCTTACTGTCTAAAATTTTTGAATAATGTTTTCTATCCGAATCAAGGAAGAGACATTTGTCGTGGTGTTTCAGATTATACAGAAGTTTTGTTTCGATTTCGAAGAATATCGCTAAAAATGATTCATTTTCAAATAATTATATGTGGATGGAAGTGTTCGTCACTTCATTTTGAACCGAGAACTGATTAAAAAGATGTCGTAAGTAGGTGAAATTGAGAATATGTTTGTTAACTCATTTGGTATTAGTCGGAGCATAATCCCTTTAGTACCAAACACTTTACGTACCAAACAAACGTTTCGTTTTCCTAAACCCTCATGTAATTCAAGTAATAAATTTGTATACATCGATTTTAAATCTATCGAAATATGAGTTATCTCTCGAATACGTTTTTTAATCGGCATATTATATCATTTAGCGAATGCAACGAGACAACCGAAATTGTTGCCGGTCTCATCCAACAACTCAAGACAGCTGATCGCTTGCATCCCGTCTAAACGTTATTTTCGCGTAGTACTGCGTTTTCGACCACCATCGGCCATTAATCACTCCCAGTGTAAAGTTAACGATCTTTAGTTGTACTCTGAGTTACGACTTTCGTACGGTTTTAATAGAGGCTGCGTCGTTTGACATTTTCTTCCGATACTCGCCGCTGAAATTTATTTATCTCGCCGTTTTCGGTTAATGAACGATGTCCTACGGATTTTCTAATGAAACTCTCGGTAATTGCTTGACCTTGTGGCTGGGCACGACGCGGGGGTTCCGCCTCTGGGTCTGTGATATTTTAGTCGATATCATGCGGGGTGTCCAAGGGCATCTTCCTAAAAAACTGCAAAATAAACGATAAAATGTGATCACAGATAAAAAAAAACTCTCTGT